GGCCTCCGTTCATCTCGCGAACCTGCCGGTACAACAACCGCCACCATTGTCACCTCCGCATCTGAGACCGATCCCGAGGATGATGCCGACGACGAGGGATCGTTCTTCGACCTCGAGCTCGCTCTTCCTGAGGAAGACGGGGAAACCGAAGGTATCCACGAGGTTTCCGACGATGCGGAGGATCCGAGCGGCGGTGAAGGCGATGAAGAACGAACGGGAGGAGATTCCGACGGTACGGACGGCGGCGGCGACGAGATCAAGCTCATGTTCTCCTCATGTTCCAGCGGCGAGGGCCGAGCGACGGATCAGGACCTTGCTTTCTCCCCCTCCGACGATCTGGTTTTCAAGGGACGTCTCGTGGCGGTCGACCCGCCGGCTTCCACCGCAGCCGCCGAGCACAATACCTCCGCCAAAGCTCCAGCGGCGCAGTTGTCGGCGTCGCTTCTGAAATCCGCGACGAGGTTTCGCGTGTTCATGCAGGGGTTAAAGAAATCGAAGGCGAGCCATGCGAAACCCGAGAAATCGGAAGCTAATCCTGGATCTGGAGACGGCGGCAAACAGAAATCTCCACCGCCGTCGCCGTCACCGCCGCCGCAACAGAAAAATACTCTGACGGTAAAATTGAAATTGGAGGAGGTACCGATCATCTCTCTCTTCACCAGAGACAACAGCTCGAGACACTCATCGTCCTCGACGTCGTCTTCTTCCTCGTCTTCGTCGTCGAAGAAGCAAAACGGCAATGAATCTGTCGTTTCAGATGAGAAACGTTTCGTCACGATGAACAAGTATCTGAAGAAGGTGAAACCGCTTTACATCCGCGTTTCTCGTCGGTACGGCGAGAAACTGAGGCTCTCCGGCCATCTAAGCTTCGGCTCGGGAGCTCCGGCCAAGGCGACGGAAGCTCCGGCGAAAAGCCGGAAGCAGACGGGGAGCATCAACATAAACATCCCGGCAGGACTTAAAGTAGTGAAGAAGCACCTTGGGAAGAGCAGATCGTCTTCCTCGGCGAGTCCGCCGTCGGTTACTGCTACGGCGGCGGCGACAGCGACGGCAGAGAAGTCGGGGAGACGCGATGACTCGTTGCAGCAGCAGCAGGATGGTATCCAAAGCGCCATTTTGCACTGCAAGAGATCATTGAAGTCCTCTCGTGGTAACAAATTTCTCTTTTCCTTTTTTTTCAATTTGCATTTCTAATATAGAAACTGCATGTAGTAAATCAATCCGAAAATTTTCATTCCATAAAAAAACAAATTAATCTGAAAAATTATTTTAAAAAACTCAATAGATAACCTCTTATGCGTATTTGATTTCGAATATTCAGATGGGGAATCTCCGGGCTTACCAAGATCGGCGAGTAAATAATCCATCCGCCTACGAAATAAATGGAATCTCAACGGTTGATTTTGGTGCATTTAACACTGTGAGTTATTGCGATTTTTATGAGTTTGTTTTATTTGGTAAGAGGGTCAGAGATATGACTGAGACGTAGTGTACGTATCTGTGATGGGTTAGTGGGAAAGGGGTTTGGTGTGTTCAGGTCATGTTGCAGTGATGATGACTCGTCAGTATCTCAAGTTTGTGCAAAAATAAAAAATAAAAAAATCACCATTTGATAGTGAGAGACGAGACATGACATGACCACCTAAGGGGCATACATATATATGTATCCCACACATGTATGTATATATATATATATATAACATAGAGACAAATATTTGTACTTTGTTGGGATTGTGAACAAAACTAAACACTCCTAGGATGTAGTAGTAAAGTGCATGTTACATTTACAAATTAGGAATTTTATCATTCTATTAATTTGATAGAATAAACATTTCATACAAGTGGTATCCTCTTTTTTTGTTCTCGAGGATTTTTTTTTATGTATGGGGACGATGACAGAAAGCAAACTAAATGTGGGTTTTTTTTTAATTGGTTGGTTACAGAAAATAACAGTGAAAATTAATTCCCTTTTTGGTTTTTTTTATGTCATTCATTCTCCACCTCGGCCTCGATGCAAAAAAAAAAGATGGTCAAATATTTTGTCTAGTATCGAGAAACCTGCTTATTATATACACAACTGTATGATATAATGCCCCTTTTATTCCTGATAATCAGAGAGTTTAGATTAAGCAAATAATTAAGGATGGTCCGCACATTACTTATTTTTTTCGGACCACTTAGTGAACAATTATATGCCGCTGGGTCCAAATGTAAACAAAGGTTAACGTACTTGCTCACAATTTCATTGGTTGATCACTATATCCTAACCTTTTTTTTGTGAATTTTTTAAGTTTGGAGAGACTTCATGATTAGTATGGGTATTAACAAAATATATAAATATAATTCATCAATCGTGGTAATGTATGTTGGGCCGACATTGTAGGGCCCATTGACCCAATTCCTAATAAGAAATGCTTGCTTTTATAAAATCAGTGACAGCATATAAAATTAAGATAAGATGAATTGGTAAAAGAAAAGTTAGCAACAAGCTCTATTGCTTTGCTTTTATAAATTTGTGGCAACATATAAAATCAAGATGGTCATCTGTTAATAGTGTTATCAACTGTGCATTCCTTGTAATTGAGAAACACAAAATCAAAGCCATAGGATAAATGTTCCAGGAAATGCATATCAGTTCTGTCCTAATATTCTTTTATATATAATAGGTTATGATAGAGTGGCAAACTAAATTTGAAATAGAATAAAAAAATTCAGCTGATCAAAACCACTTGATTTACTGTGTTCTGTAGACAAATTTTAATTTATCATGTTTTCTCTCTCACCCATTCCGTTTGTTATTAAAAGGCTTAGACCCGTAATGAATGTTGCAAAGCTTCAGCTCCAAAAAGAATCTAGTCAAAACCTTCCTTCACTTTCATTTTTGGTTTTTGGTTTTTATTTTTTAGTTTTTGATTTTTAGTTTTTAGTTTTTTATTTTTTATTGATTTTTTTTCACTAAAATGGCTTTCCAAATTTGTAGGAAAAGTAATTTTATAAAATCTTGAATGGTAGCTTTTTTAGTTTTTAAATTTTAAAAATTCCAAAAACTCCAACCATTCAAGGTCTTAGTAAACATAACATTTAAGTTATTTTCTTACAAAAAACTAAATATTAAGTTTGATAGTAAAAGAAAATTATAGTAACGTTATTTGTTTCCAAAGGAGGGGACACAACACAAGCATATATATATACATACACACACGCACACGTTGTAATAATAAGGAAAAATCTCAAAAAATACAAAATTTTACAATTTTAACAGAAAAACACTAACTTTTATTTTTGTCAAATAAATATTAAATTTTTTAAATTTTTTAAAAAATATTTCACTTTTTAAATGATCCAAAAAATATATAAACTTTTATGGGATTGTCAAAAAAATATTAAAATTTTTAAATGATTCAAAAAAATACATTAACTCTATATAATTGTCAAAAAAATCCAACTACAATAATTTGATGTGTTTGCGTCTCGTTATATCACATCATTACGTCACGTTAGTTCATTTGTTTATTTTGATAATCATAATATTTGTTTGACAAAATAAAAAATTTAATGCTTTTTTTTGTCAAAATTGTATATTTCAGTGTTTTTTTGGAATTTTCATCTCATCATCATGCATCGCCAATTTAGTTCCTTGTTCAATTTTTTGTATTTGTGTGTGTATGTATATGTCGATAAATGCTTTTTTTTTTATGTTAGACCAAAAGCAATCTCAAGGTGTAATGCATCAACGAGAACATTAAATTTACATTGGACTCCATAATTTTCATTAGGAACATTACATATACGTCTAATAATTAATGCGTGTTAATTATAAAAGTTTGTATTGGCCAAATCCATAAAACACATGACTCACCCCACATGCCATCATCATCAACATCGCCGTCGTCGCCATCATCATCATCATCATCGGCTATCAATAATGGGCCGAATATAAGCCCAAACGATTAAGATATTTTGTAAACAAAACGCTGCGTTGTGTTGCTTGAAGGATAAGGACACAATACACGCGCGGGTTGACAAAAGTACTGGTTTTCGTTTTCATTTTCATTTTCATTTTCATTTTTTTCTCTGGTCACATCTTCGTGGGACCCAGCATATCCTTGGCCTGCCACGTGTCTTCCACGTGCTACGCAATGGCCATTATTATCATAGAAGATTTCGAATGAGTGGCTCATAAAATCTGAGTTTTTCTCTATGCAAAATCAAAGTTCTACTTTTCAAAAGAAAAACTAAAACAAGTCAAACTTAAAACAATGTAAAGTCTTTTATTTTTTAATATAAACAACGAAAATAATAAAACCCTCACAAATTAAATTGAATATTTTGGGACTATAATGGATGTGTTGACTTTCAGTTTAAAAATAACTCAAAATATATATAATGTAATAATATATATATATATATATAATCTTGAGTGAGAAATTGGCATAGTCTCGATATTTATATTTCGTGAAATAGGATACCCTCACAACAATGGATCTAACTTGAAATGTATTAAGAAAAAATTCAAGATTAGATGATTTAAGAGGGTAAAACTTCTTTGCAACTTAGTTCCAATCTTCATTTGAAAAGGAATATCTATTTGTATTTTTTTGTTTTTTTAGAAGGTAAATTGGGTTAAAATTTTTGAATTATAAAAAAAATTATATTATAATTTATGAGCATTTAAGGACGTGGAAGATGGAAGAAGAAAGAAAAACGTAACAAAAGCCACCTTGAAAAACAGGAGCGATCTTGGAGACTTCAAATTGTGTCGGTCCGGAGAAGAGAACACGTGTCACGTTTTGGGACACTTGAAAAAAAATCTTAAATATGGTAAAGTTAGCTAACTACAACCATTAACTGTCTTGATACATACGTGGCAAAACTAAATTCTGATTATCAACCAGATTAATACCCACTATTACCCACCACCTAGGGATGTCAATTTGGGCCCGAAGCCCAAAACTCGATCCTAACCCGCCCAAAAAAAACTGGGTTAGGGCTTAAAATTATAGGCCCAAAAAAAATCGGGCTTTCGGGCCGGGCTGAAAACTGGATTCGGGTTTAACCGGGCTAAGCCCATCGGGTTTAGGGCCGGGCTTGAAAAGCCCATTTATTTTTCTTTTTTAAATTTTTTGTGAAACAAATAAATAAAATTAAAAAAAATCATAATCCCTAGCGGTTCTCTCTCCTCTTCTCCACTCTGTTTCCACGATGCCCATCTCTCCCAATCTCTCATGTTTGTCTCTTGAACTAGATCATTGGCTTTCTCCAGTGACTCTCTTCCTCTTTCTTCTTCTTCTTCTTCTGCCATCACCTCATCACGCTCGATTGTTGTACGTGGCTCTCTCTCCCCCTCTCTCAATCTCGGCGCATCTATCTCTCTCGGTAAATTTTCCTCCTCCTATTCTTCTTTTTCTTCTTCTTCTTCACCTTAAGTTGATGTTTCCCAGCTGGATTTATCTTGTCTGGGCTTTTTCATAAATCTTCTCAATTTATAATTAACCACACATACAAAAGGGAATGATTTGATTGACACACACGCACATATTATACATATATATATATATGATTTATGAGTTCCATCTATAGAAAAAATCTGAATTTTATTTACAATTAATCCCTAATCGATTAACATTCAGAAATATTATATGTTTTTTTGTCGCATTAATAATAGTGTTAGATGCATATTTGTTTCAAGTGTATTATTGTTAGATTTTTAAATTTATTCTGTTTTTGTATCTATATTAACACCACCTTATAATGCCACAAGTTTATTTTATTTTTGTATGTATGGGAATAAAACATTTAGATTGAGATGCGGGTAGGATATTTTCATCAAATAATTTATATATTTAATATATTATAAGAAAATGATATGATTCTAACTTGGACATGACACGCATGTATACGATGGCCAATTCTCACTCTCGCATATTCTTCTTCATCATCTTCTCTCTTCGTCTTCTATTATTATGTATGCGTTTCTATTGTCTGTGTTTGCACAATTTTGTTTATTTGTGTCTTTATGTGATTGTGGGTTTATGTTGGTTGATTGTGTGCATTCATTCGATTGAATCTGATTGCGAGTTCATGTTTGTCGAATGATCCAAGTTCAGACTCTGAGTTTACTATTTCAGTCTCGGTGTTTGCATTCATTGAAATGAATCTGACATCGTCGAGTATATTTTTATCTATCTGAATCTGATTGTGTATTTTTTTTCTCATATTGTTCTTTGTTGTCAGATTGTGAACAATGGATAGCGAAAAAGTTGATCTAGAAGAACAAGTGATGGATATTAGCGATGATGGACCTCCTTCTAAACAACAAGAAGGCGACAGTCAGGAGATACGTGGTAAAAAACGAAAAGGAGGGTCATGTGTTTGGGATCACATGACTAGGATAAGTCCTGATTTTGCCACTTGTAATCACTGTGGTAAAACGCTTTCTGCTGGGGCTGCAAAAGGAACATCGCACCTAAAGCGACATGTAGAACTTAATTGCAAGGCAAAGCCCAAGTTTGGTAGGGTAGATGATATGATTATTGGTTATGATGGAAAATTGAGGGAAAAGAAGATTGATCAGCTACTTTGGAGGGAAAAAGTGGCTAAGATGTTGGTTGCTCATGAACTTCCTTTCTGCTTTGTTGAGCATGTGATGTTTAGAGAGATGATGCTTTATTCCAACCGGGAAATCAAAATGATTTCTAGAAACACCGCTGCTGCTGATGTTATGAAGTTCTACGAGAGTGAGAAAGCAAAATTGAAGTCTGAGTTGGAAAAAGTTCGTAGTAGGATATGCTTAACCTCTGATCTTTGGACGGCTATTACTCACGAGGGTTATATTTGTGTGACAGCGCATTATATTTGTGAGGATTGGAGAATGCATAGTAAGATCATATCATTTTGCTCTATGCCTCCCCCACATACGGGAACGGAAATATGCAGGAAAATACTTGATTGTTTGAGAGAATGGGGCTTAGAGAGAAAGATCTTTTCTCTCACTCTGGATAATGCTTCAAGCAACGACTGTATGCAAGATATGTTGAAGTATCAACTTGATAGGCAAAACGGATTGTTGTGTAATGGTGAGTTCTTTCATGTGAGATGTTGCGCGCATATCTTGAACCTCATTGTGCAAGAGGGTTTGAAAGTAATTTGTGATGCTTTGGAGAAGATAAGAGAAAGTGTGAAATATGTTAGAGGTTCTGAATCGAGGATGAAAGAGTTTAGAAGCTGTGTGGACCAACTCGGCAGTGATATCAAATCCTCATTGTCTATGGATGTGTCGACACGTTGGAACTCTACTTATGAGATGCTTGATAATGCTCTCAAATTTCGAAAGGCTTTCTCTTCTCTTGAGATAATGGATAGAAATTACAAGTGTTGTCCGTCTAATGAAGAATGGTCAAGAGCTGAAAAAATATGCGATTTCTTGAAGCCCTTTGATGAAATTACTACATTGATTTCTGGCTCATATTATCCGACTTCCAACTTGTACTTTATGAAAGTATGGAAGATCGAACTGCTTTTGAAGGAATATGCGCGGAGCGAAGATGATATTCTTAAGAGCATGGCTGAAAGGATGCAATTGAAATTTGACAAATATTGGGATGAATATAGTATCGTTCTTGCCATGGGAGCCGTGCTTGATCCGAGGATGAAGTTGAAGGGGTTGAAGTATTGTTATGACCAAATTGATAAAAACACGAGTGAAATTAAAGTGGACAAAGTGAAGAGTAAGATGTATTTACTCTTTGAAGAATACAAGGCTACTTTTGCGGTGTCGACTTCAAAAAGCTCAACTCCTTCAAATGTGGCCGGTTCAAAAGAAAAGGTTAAAAAGTCGACTCTTTACGCGGTAAGTTCTATTCTTTTTCTTCGTTTTATTAGTTATTCCAATGATTTCTTTTGATTATAACATTGTTCAATGTTTGGTATTATATAGGATTTATATGGATGTGATGATGGTAATTCGTCTGACGATGGATCGGGATCAGCTTTGGATAGGTATTTTTTTGATCGTAAAATGAACATCAAAATCCATAGTGATATGGACATTTTACAATATTGGAAGGCTAATACCGGACGATATGGCGTAGAATTGGCTCTTATGGCATCAGATATACTTAGTATTCCTATTACTACCGTTGCTTCTGAGTCATCTTTTAGTGCTGGTTCTCGCGTGTTGAACAAGTATAGAAGCCGTCTTTTGCCTTCGAACGTACAAGCTTTATTATGTGCCCGTTCTTGGATGTTTGGTTTTAAAGAATTTGGTAAGTATATATTTTCATAACATTGTCATGATTGTGATTTAGTGACGTAGATGTTTATGTGTTTATGTTTAACATTCTGATTATTGTAATCGGTGTATAGAATCAGGTCTTGGTACTGTGGAATCGACGGATGGATTTCTAGCTGCTTCACTATCTCCTTTTTCTACCGTGTTAGAGTCTACAAGCGATCACTCTATGATGGGGACGGAAGACGTATTAACAATTGAGTGATTTGTATAAAAAATTCAGGATTTGACCATTTGTCTAGTTGTTTTTAAAGATATTTAGTTTATTTTCATGGTATGTGTTTTTATATCTTGTTTTACTTTTAGTTATTAATGAATATATTTAGTTTGTTTTTATGATATTTAGTGTCTATTTAAATTTGCAGATTTTTAAATAGGGTCGGCCCGAATCCGAACCCGAACCCTATAAAATTGGGTTTGGGCCTAATTTTATAAACCCGATAAAATTCGGGCCGGCCCGAACCCGAACCCGAAACTCTCGGGCCGAGTACGGATCCGGGCCGGGTCGGGCCGGGCCGGCCCATTTGACACCCCTACCACCACCACAGACGCATATTGCAGTATTTTAATTATTATATAAATATTCATATATAATTATATGCTTTAATGTAGTCACTGCTTATGGACGAGCAAAATAAAATAAAGTTGAATGCATTTTAAATCATTGCTTAGGGGAAATTAATCGTTTTGAGATTGAATATGATACAAATGATAAATATATAACAGGAATCATAAAAAGTAATTATAAATAAAATGAGTTCAAGGAAATAATGCGAGCCACAGATATTTTTTGAATTCCCAACATATAAATCCTTGCTTAAAAAATAAATATAGAATTAAAAAAATATGAGCTTGGATTTTCCATTCGTAGCACACCCATTATATATACACACACACGGAAACACGAAATACCTAATCTTACGCCATCTGTGTTTATAAATTAGGCAACGAGATCTAGAAGTAGAAAGAGTCTTAATATGTTCCCTTTCTTGAAGTATATCTCGAGGTCGGTCCACGAGGAATACCAGCCGCCGCATCCGGAGGCGCGTGAGATTGTAGACGGTGGCGCGTGCACCACACTCACGGTGTGGAGGAAATCGCTTCTGGTGAGTTGCGAAGGGTTCACGGTGATCGATTGGAAAGGAGATCTGGTGTATCGGGTCGATAACTACGCCCGAACCCGACCCGAAGAGCTCCTCCTCATGGACAAAGACGGCAACTCCGTCCTCTTCATGCGCCGTCTTAAGGTAACCTAACCATACATATATACGTGTATGTATGTATGTATGTATAATTATTGAGACACCATTAAATTAAATTTAATATAAATCCAATTGTACGTACCGTAATCGACATCTATTTTTAGAATTTCTATGTAAAAAAAAACAAAGCATTTTCCACATATTTGGATTCTACCAATTAATAAAATATACGGATTATTTCACGTATTATTGTCTTGCATGATAATATCTTAATTACTTCTGCAATAAGATTAATTATAGAATTATAAAATTTTAAAATGTTTAAAAAAAAATTAGACTGATTGTTTTTCTTTGATGCAAATCAGAAATTTACAATGGTGGACAGATGGGGTATATATGACGCCAAGGACACTGAGGATACAAATGCAATTAAACCACCGAAGCGTCCGATTTGGTGCGTCAAGAAGAACGTCAACGCAAAGATTTTGGGCAACAGTTCCGACATTCTGGCGTACGTTTATTACGGGCCGTTCGATAAGAAGCACGCCTACGTCATCAAAGGATCGTACGGTTGTAGATCGTGCAAAGTAGTACACGGTTCGTCGAACCGGACAGTGTCGGAGATCAAGACGAAACAGGCTAAACCCGAAGGGGTTCGGTTCGGTTTAGATGTTTTTGATTTGGTCGTGTATCCCGGTTTCGACCCCGGTCTAGCAATGGCTCTGGTTTTGCTGTTAGACCGAATGTTTTCTTGATCGTCACTTTGTAAAATAAAAAGTTTTGAGGCTTTTCTACATAACTTGTAGAAAAAATGAAATTGAAATGTATAGCTGCTCTAGTAGCAGTTGGTTTTAATATTTTCAAAACGTCTTTTTCCTTATCTTTCACTAGATAGTAGATCCACACACAATTGGAATTATAAGAAAAAATAAAATATCATTAACATTAAATATAACCATACCAAAGCAGTTAGGGGTAATCCGTTTTAAAAAAAAAATAGTTTCTGAGGAAATGCGTTTTATATAAAATATAAATGAAGCAAATATATCTTATTTTTTTCAATTTGGCAAGTCTAAAAAAAGGCGTTTTAGGGTTCATAAAAAGAAAACGTATAAAGACATAACGAAACCAAATAAAAAAAAAGGATATCTTAATTTAGTTTAGGAAAAAATGTGGCTAAAACGTAAAAGAAAGTGTATTTAGATTGAGGAAAAAAATTAAAATGTAGAAAAAATGACATTTTTAATTCGAATTTAGCAAAATGTAAATTTGACAAAAAACTATTTTGAATTCAAAATTTTTCAAATATCTATACGAATTATTAAAATCAACCGTAATATAATCATCATTTTTGTTAAAAAATTTCAAATTCTATTAACTAATGTATAGTGGTTATAATAAATTAATAATTACCTAACTAATACTTTAGTTAATTAAATCTAATAAATGTTAATGAAAATAATGATTATTTATATAATTATTATTAATTTTAACTATTTATGCATATATTTAAAAAAAATTTGAATTCAAATCTAGTTTTTTTATCAAATTAAAAATAATTTTTAGTCTAATTTTGCCTGAAAATGTATTATTTGAGAAAGTCCCATCCAGAAAACCAAAAGTCTTAAGTATTTCGAAAAACTGTCCGTTCCTTTTCTTTTTGGTTTGCGAGGGGGTTTCCAAAAATTTTCACGGCCAAGGAGAGGGAAGAAGGTGGAGAAATCATCTCAAGTAGAAGGAATCGTTCATGAAGGCGGTTTCTCCGGCGGACGGAGGAACCAGGCATCAGTCAACGTCGCTGGTGATTTCTCAACTGCCTGCGGCGGCGCGGCGGTTGGATTTCTACGTTCAGGATGGTCGCCTGAGCAACCTCAAGGACACCGTCGAGTTCCGAGACTGTTTTATCTCTCTGGCTAAGTAATTTCCTAAACCATTTGCACACATGTTTGGATAAACCTAAATCTCGGTTCTCTTTTGGTTTCTCACTGTCTGGATTTTGGGTTTTAATAGATTTTCCCGCTGTTTTTTTTCTTGTTTTTTCGGTCGAATCGAATCGTTGTGTTGCTTTCTCCGTGGCTGGTTGGGTTTGCTTGATAAATGCAGAATCATTGATTTCGCGATTGCAAACAATGAGGTCCCAGCGAAAGCTCGAGAATTGCCTTCACTGCTCAAGAAGGTTCTTCTTCTTCTTCTTCTTCTTCTTCTTCTTCTTCTTCTTCTTTGATTATGGTGAAGAAAAGAAAATGGTGAACGGGCAGAATAACAAATTTGGAAATTTGCCGAGTGCTTGTGTGCAGAGAAGCCATTGTTAGTGTGCTTATAGTGATGCTCTTGCATTATGTCTGTGTAGGTGTGCAGGCGTAGAAGTGAGCATCGTTTCATATATGCTGCGTTAATGGTGATGATGGTCTCGGTTAAGGTAAACAAGAGAAAGAGTTCTCTGACACTCGTATAGTTTTTGGCGCTTATGTTTGTGCGAGATTCTGAACCTGCCAAATGCTTTTTCTCTATGAATAAGAACATGTTATCTCTTAGCTATGGCTAATTTATACGAGAAGACTACTTCATTTGTGATTTATTAGGTGCTGGATGATATCGGGTCTGAACGGGTTCACTATATTGGCCTGTGTGAGAATGATAAATCTGGGTTGAAACAGGAACCTCACAAACCCATTTGTTTTATGATGTATCTTACTGATTGCGTTTGTATGGCACAGAATGCTTGCCAATTGGGATGGTTTCAACAGAACGACGCTCGGGAACTTTTGGCACTCGCTGATGAGGTTTGTATCCTTCATGGCTAAAGTTGGGCAGAAAAATCTTTAGAATTCTGGGAATACTTATGTGTTTGTTCTTGTTCAGATACATAATAGTTTTTGCGGTCCTGGAGGTAGCAGCCCTAATCAAGAAAGTCCAGGCAGTCCATTTTCACAGATCATGGAGAGGTAGGTTTTGATTTCACTCATTCACTGTTCTTGTGATATTTGACTTCTAACAGTTTATTAGGCACAGTTATGTATTCTCTAACATTTATCTCAAGTCATACTATCTTCTATGAAAATGGTTGAGAAATTATTGAGTCTGAAAATGCACATGGTGTGTCTAAGAATCTTCTTTTTTTCTCTTTCTAGGTTCTATCCATTTATTAAGCTGGGGCATACTCTTCTTTCTCTTGAAGTAAAGGTGAGTTTGTCTTCATATCCTGTTTGAAGCACATACGTTCTGATGTTTTTGAAGTGAAGCACATATGTTCTTTTTTGCTTGGCAGCCGGGGTGTACAATATTGACGAATGACTTCCATATCTCAAAGAGGACGCCACATTCTACCCAACAGAAAATAGTATGCAACTTCATTTTTTTTAAGTTTGGACTGTTTGTGTTTCAGTTATTCATTATCCAATTCTGCTCTTCCCGGGTGAGATCTCTGATTTTGCTTGTATCAGTTGTCCATTTTTATCTGCTTGGTGTTTCGTGTGCTGCATGTGGTCTTTATGTGGTCAGGCTTACTTGTGCATTTTGTATTCTGTACTTGCAACACTTGCATTTAGCTGTTGCTGATGATTTCATCTACTGGGGCAGCATATTAACCATGTATAAGAACGTTCGACTTTGCCTGTCTACATTCTTTCATTTTTGTTTTTCAATATTTGGTTATCTCATCAATGTACCCACTTTCCATTCATGGTTAGCATAGAGTGTCTTACTTGAAGAATCCTTTTTGCTCTTCAGAGGTTATTTGTTGCTCGAACGGACAACATTGAGACATCTGCCTGTATTATAAGTCCTCCAGAAGTCAGGTATAGCTGAATTGCTTTCAGATGTCTTCTTTTTGGACTTCATGTGACGTAGCATGTTATTCTAGTGTTCGTTTCTTTCATATGAAAATTGCAGCTTCCTATTGAATGGAAAGGCAGTTGAGAAGAGAGTCAACATCCAAATGGTTTGTGCCGTTCGAATGTTTCTTTTCATTCTCCTGAGCTAATTATGTGGACGGATATTTTGTTTATTATTATTTCATTTTTTTAGGATTCTGGGCCTCAGATACCAACAAATGTGACTGGATTACTCAAATATGGGACGAACCTTCTACAAGCAATGGGCAATTTCAAGGGTACTTATTCAATTAAGATTTGTTTTGTACATTATCTTTGTTTTGACCATCCTTATCTCACAAAGATGCTCTATTGTTACAAGGGCATTACATCATCGTTCTTGCCTTTATGGGTGTGATACCGCTGTCCGAAGCACCTGTGCTGAAAGATTACGTTCAGTCTGAAAGCATTGAATCAAATTCAGGTACACTCTTGAGCAATCCGTGCAAGAGAGGAAAATTTGCTTTCAAATTTTATTATCTTTTCTGTATTTGTTGTTAGATCATTCAGTGACTTGCAAACATATAGTTCTATAAAAAAAAATTATTTTTTAAGATTTACCATTCTTTTCTTTTTATAATACTGGCTGTAGATGCTGACCTAATCGAGGGGCCATCTCGGATATCTCTCAATTGTCCTATCAGGTATCCAATTATGTTTTTCTATAACTGTGTGCTTATTTCCATTGTCTTTGGTCATTGATTTCGTATATGGGAGTTGCCAACAAGTGCTTGGACGTTTAAATCAACTGTCTCTTATTTACTTCATCTGCATTAACACAGCCGCTCTCGTATCAAACTTCCTGTCAAGGGTCTCTTGTGTAAACATCTTCAGGTAATGCGTTTTTTATTCAACATTAAGTACGATGGGGTCATTTATATTTTATCATTTTATAAATCAGCATGGTGAAATGCATAATGAATGGATTGTGAGAAGGGAAGTAGTGAGATGAATTTGAGAGTTGTAGAAAGTCGAGAGATAATAGTGATTTATGTTCCTTTTTCTATAATTTTTGATATATGGTACTTGATGCTTTAGTGTTTTGATTTCTCAAACTATGTCAACATTAATATGAGAAAACCGTCATGGCGCTGTCCACATTGCAATCAGCCTGTCTGCTATACCGACATTCGTGTGGATAAGAACACAGTGGAGGTAAGTAGCTACTACTACATGTTTGCTTACATATACGTGTTGTGTTTATGCTGTCTAAAGTAACATTGTCTCTATCATACCATCAGGTTCTAAAAGAGGTGGGATATGATGCTGCTGATCTAATAATGTCTACTGGTGGATCATGGAAAGTCGTAATGGAAAATGATGAGAAAATGGAACATGTGCGTCAAACCATTCATGATCATGAAGACCCAACTAGCATCTTAAAATCTGGGTCAATGGTTTTGGATCTCACTGGGAATAATGATGATAATGATGAGATTGGAACATTTGGTAATACCGAGGTTGAAGACCGGAAGCCTCTTTTGTCTGATATTCAAGGCCAGTCTAGTAATGATGTGAATATCGCTGCTTTGAACGAGGCCTTCTCTGGGTTTGATACCTCGAATGGCCTATCACTGGATCCTTCTATGCTGAATCTGAATCAGTTTTCTACTCCGAGCAACAGCATGCCACAGCCACCGCAAACTTCAGATACTGCCTTCGAGCAAGAATATCCTAACTTATTGCAAATACCAAGAAGCCAAGATCCCGTATCAGTACAAGCCCTACCTGTGCCATCATTACAGACCTCATCTGTTCCAGACAGACCGACCACATTCTGTGCATCAGTACCCACTTCTCAGTCCTCTCCGTTTCAGGCTTCACCCATTAGGCCGGTTGGACATAACATGGCCGAGGCTTCTCGGGTTCAGATATCATCTGCACAGGATAGACTTGAAACTACCACCAGGTTCAGCACATCGTTGATACCAACGCCTCAATCTTCTCAGGCTCATGCTTCATTTGTTCCTCCCGTTCGACATTGTCAAGGTAGAGCCTCCAGGTTGATGGAGAGATGGAGACCATATCACCGAAATCCATCTCAAGTGCCAACCATGGCTTCATCCCGGGATCATCCTTCAATACAGGTTGCTATCCCAACCCCAGTTCTTTTTCCTCACTTGTTTTTATGCATATGCGTCATACGCAGTAGCATATGCAAGATTCAGTTAGGATTTGATTAGGTTGCGAAAATGTTGACCGTACAGAGATTGAACTAGGTCCAGTTTGATTTCGAATTGAAGGCAATTTACATTCGGGTCAGGTGGCTATGTTGATCTGGATGGATGGCCACCCCAGAAAATTTCCTTAATTCAGGTGTGAATCTGTTCTTTTGTGCAGAACCGGAGGCATCCTGTTAGAAGCCAGTTCCCAACAGCCATAAGACAACAACCACCACCACCACCATCGTCCCTTTCACAGTCTCATACAGTGAAAGGAACAACCTTTGGCCAGCAAACAAGGTCTGTCCAGATGGAGAGGCAAAGGCTTAGCCAAGAGGGTCTAACGGTTCAATCTGTATCACGGGTCAGCAACCTTGTGGACCAGACCACGGCTAACAACTGGCGGCCACAGGGCCGTATGAGAGGAAGCCTCGTACCTGGTTCATATTCCACGGCTCTTGACCAACTCATCATCCGACCAACTCAACAGTCTCAGACAACTCAACCACAAGTTCAAACACCGTCACCATCTATGGCTTCATACAATATCTCTGTTAATATCGGATCGTTTTTGGCTAGCCGAATGCACGGGACGAGTATTCCCAAGACGCAAACCGTGACAGATTCATCACCTCCTGGTTAGATCTGACCACCCGATCTTGGTAGGACACAACACTAACATAACATTTTGAAAAGTGGTTAATGTGGTAGTAGATTGTTTTTTGTTTTTTTTTTGGGTTTGAATCGGTTTAGTCTTCCGGTTTGCATATAGGATTCCCGGTTAGTTGTTCGGTTATATATGTTTTCAAGAGGGCTGTACTCCATCAGTCCGTCTGCAGTGTAATGGATGCTTGTGCTGAAGGAATGGTGGTGTATGATTCCCGGTTTAACAATGTTCTCTTTTGTTAAGAAACGGCAAATTACAATATATATACACACACATGTGTGTGTGTGTGTGATTTGCTAGCGTTGTACACATATGGTGATCATTTCGATTTCATTTGGGTTACATTGGGTTATATTAAGATTCGACTATTTCTATTTTACATAAATTAAGACCATTTGATTTTTATATTGAATTCTATTTGATTTTGTTTCATTAGGTGTTCATTGATAAAAATATTTATTTTTAATTTTATTTTATTTTTTTGTTTTCTATAATTTATTGGGATTTGATTTTTCGGTTTTATAGAAATCATAATAATTCCATTTTATGTCAGATTCCATTTCGTTATTCCGTTTTGATCTATGTTTTTCTTTATTTTCTTTATGCATTTGATGTTGTTCGGGGAAAAGGTTTATGAAAATCACGGCGTGTTTTATACTTGGAACGGCATGCATTCTTCTTGGTTTTGTGCGTTCGAAAATGGCCTGTTATTATACACGTAAGGCCCACTTTGAAAAGCCCGCTTACAATCTTGCAGACTCGATTGCTCTCTCTCTCGCTGCAAACTTCGCGCCAATCTCTCTGTCCTTCCCAAAATTCAAACAAGTTTTCTGCCGATGTGATAATAGAGAAACTTGAAACGATTAACGATCTATGGAAATGGATGAAGAAGATGCATGCCGATCTTCCTTGAAGTTCTTCTCCGATCAACTTCTCTGCTACGCAGATATTCTCCTTCCTCATGAGGTAAATCCTTTCTCCGAAGCTCATTATATCGCGAATTCATATTCCTTTCGGATTCTGGAAACTGAAGAGTCCTATTTCAGGCTCGTGCCAGAATCGAAGTCTCGGTGCTGAATCTCCTCAGGATTTTGACTTCATCAGATCCAGCCATCTCCGATCTCCCCTTGGTACTCCCTTTTCTCCCTTCATGTTTGCTGAACCCAGTTATCGGAGCGTGATTACCAGATTCCGTGTTTCAGAATATATTAGGTCTCTTCTCCATGTTCCCTTGATTTATGATGAGGATTGAGTGTTTCGGATCTAGATTTTTGTTACTCGACTCGGAGGTCTGTTTGTTCACCAATTCAGTAAGATTTTCTGGGATTTGTAAAAAAAAAAAAAATCACAGTAAACAAACAGGAGAGAAGGTTGAATAACAAGAATGATGATTGTTTGGCAGATCAATCGCAGTCGAAGCAACAGCCGTGTTAGTCAAGGACTGCTTACGAACGTTTCCTATATTTTCCTCTCTAGTTCGCTGACTAAGAGTTCCTTGACAAGAGCAAACACAGCCAAATCCTTTGTCCGTGGTAATTCCTTGATGTTTCCATTGTTCTCCAAACCTTTGATTGGATTCACATCACTAGTGTCCATGCTAAGCCGTCATTTTCTCGAATAGTGTGGAAGGTCATGGAAATGTGCTTTCAGATTCTGCTCCAAGGAAAACGAGCGACCCAGAGGGAACTGTTCTACAAATTGCTCTGTGATTCGCCAGAGTATTTTTCATCCCAGATTGATGTCAACAGAACCATCCAAGGTCACACAGTTCAGCGTTGTATCATCACGATACATACTCGAAGACGAACTAAGAACGCTTTGAAACGAATTGTTTTTCTCTGTATTCACAGATGTAGTAGCATTGCTACGTTGCAGCAGATACAGTCTCGGTATTATGGCATCTAGCAGAGGACTTGTTGCAGGCCGGTTGTTCCTACAGGCAAGTGATGTCTCATTTGCTTTATCTTGTTTCCAATAGGACCTCTGTTATGTTTCTCATAAACTTTACTATCTGTCTACTCTTTCATATGTAGGAACCAAACAGGGAAATCGTGGATTGTTCCGCATGTGGTTCTTCAGGTTATGCTATTTCAGGTGACCTGAATTTGCTTGACAGCCTTGTCTTATCAACAGATGCACGTTATATTATCATTGTAGAAAAGGTAATCCCTTTCTTCAATCAGCACAGGTACGAGTTCTTACACAAATTTGTAAAATACGTTCTTACAATCTGGATTTGTTTAGCATGCAATATTTCACCGACTCGTGGAAGATCGTGTGTTCAATCACATTCCTTGCATTTTCATCACTGCAAAGGGATACCCGGATATCGCCACAAGGTACATTCCTAAACTCGGTTATTGTTTCCCACAAGCTTTCCCGAAATTTCGTCTCAGCTATCGCAATAACCGGAAAGTTAATTCCAGGTTTCTCCTTCATCGGATAAGCACTACATTTCCTGACCTGCCAATTCTTGCTTTAGTCGATTGGTAAGTACAAACATCCTCCTTACTATGTCAAAAACTAGATCTTATAACTTAAACGTGCATGAACAATTCTGCAAGGAATCCAGCCGGGTTAGCCATCCTATGCACGTTCAAGTTTGGAAGCATAGGGATGGGTCTCGAGGCCTATAGATACGGTAGATATCTCATTGCTATAACAAAAATAAATATCCCCTTTGAATCCAAAAGTTGATGAAACATATGGATACAAAAAAAAAAAAAAATCGCAGCTTGCAATGTGAAGTGGGTAGGGCTGAGAGGGGATGATCTAAATCTGATACCTCAAGAGTCATTGGTTCCTCAGAAGCCACGTGACTCACAAATTGCCAAAAGCCTAATGTCCTCCAGGGTCCTACCGGTAAGGATCGAGTTACCACTTTCAATTTGAAATGATTTTGATGGAAAGCAAGGGAAATCTTGATGTGACAGGAAAACTACAGAGGAGAGTTGGAAATGATGATGCGGGCAGGGAAGAGAGCGGAGATAGAAGCTCTCTACTCTCACGGGTATGCGTATGTCGGGAAATACATAGCCAAAAAGATAGTGCAGGCCAATTACATCTGATACTTCACCTCACTGCTCAACAAAAAAAAATGTAAGATCTCTCTCTCTCTCTCTCTCTCTCTCTCTCTAAAACATTTAAAATGTGTTTCAAATTGTACTTAGATTGGTTGGGCGTGAGTTCTTTTTCACTATAAATGTCGATGAATTTGATGGGTTCTTAATGGGCTTTCTTTGACCCATTAAAATAATAATTTCCACGCGCTTGCATTTTCACGATGCATTTATTGTTTTCGGTGGCTCAATTTATGTATTTGTTTATTTCGCCCGTTTGAGCAATAACTTTTTTTTTTTAAAGTATTTCTTTCATGACTCGAAAAAAAGTTTATTTTAGGGGAAAACATCTCGATTCCCGGGTTTCGATTCAATATTTGGTGATTTCGGTATCCAACTGAACAATCGGTTAGGTCGATTTGGTTTTAAAATGGTTTTATTATATAAATACTAAATAAAAATGGATAATTCCGGTATTGATTTGACTGGATTCTCTTCGATATTTATTAAATTCGGTTTGAAAACGATTTATTTGATTTTATAAAAATTATACCAAATTAAAATTGAGTATTATTTGGTTGGATTGAATTCACGGACCAAAATGCTCATACCTAATTTATTTGGTTATACGTGCCATGACTTCTCATGTTATTTGAAAGGTTCGTTACAAAATAATTGATACTATATTATTTTATTTTTTAAAAATGAATTTGATATAATTAGGTCGTGGCGTTTTGTGGCTTCGAGGCTATTTCTTAGAGAAACTTTTGTATTAGATAGCCAGAAACCCAAAATTAAAAAAAAAAGAAAGAAATATAATCCAAAACCCTTTGCCAGAAAATTTTACAAACGTGCAATAAATAAATAAATAAAAGGTACAGATTTTTTTTTTGGTGAGAATAAAAGATGCAGATTATTATAAACCACCGGAGAACCACGAGGTTTTGGCGGCCATGGCGACCACAACCCAACTCTTGTCCTCATCTCTGCTTCAGTCTCAAATTACCAGAAAGCCCCTCCTTCTTCCTCCGGCAACGACCTCCCATCGCCATGGATTCTCCGTGCGGATGCCTTCATATCTCTCGTCTCGCCCTTTAGTCTCAGCTTCGGCCGCTTTTCCGGCCGTCGGCGTCGATAAACCGGAGGCCTCCGAGAAATCCTCCAAAGTGCTGCCGTTTCGAGTGGGTCACGGATTCGATCTTCACCGCTTGGAGCCTGGCTACCCTCTGATCATTGGCGGAATCGATATCCCTCACGACAGAGGTTGCGAGGCTCATTCCGATGGTAAATTTCTCTCACTTCAATCGGAATTGTCTCCTTATTGATTCCGTTTAGAATCGGAATTAGGGTTTTTGAGTTGGGTTGGGTGGTTTTTTTTGCAGGGGATGTGTTGCTTCACTGTGTAGTCGATGCGATTCTGGGTGCGTTGGGGCTTCCAGATATCGGTCAGTTATTTCCAGATTCAGATCCCAAATGGAAAGGAGCTCCATCCTCTGTATTCATCAAAGAAGCTGTAAGATTTCATTATTTTTTATGGAGATGTGTTCATGTCCATAACCATTTCCCTTCGTACAGTGTTGAAGATTCTGTCTGAAAAGATTTTCTCTTACATATATATATATATATATAGGTTGATCTAGTCTACATTTGTTTATTGAATGATTGAGATTTTGGTGCTAGATTCATAGGTTGATGGAGTTTCATTTGTTTGCTAGCTATGGACGGGGTTTTGTTTTCTTTTACACTTGCTTGAGTTGAAAAATGGTGATAGCATCCAGGAATCCAGGATTGGTGGATGATAGATCAAGCCTCGTTACTTCTACATTTCATATAACTAAACATATATAAGCTGAATTTAAAGCAAAGTTCTTTGGGGGAATATAGTTTATTGTCTACTGAATATTTCGAGCTAGCAGCATGGGCGCTTTGGTTTGGAAACTTAGTTTTTAACCGGTCCGAACCGAAATCTGATCAGATAGTACTGAACAATATTCGGTTCTAATTGGGTAGAATCTCTGTAGAACTGAATGAACCGTTCTCGGACTTCTGAACTGAAAATGTCTGGTTCTTTTTCTTGTCCGGTTTCAGGTGAGACTGATGGAGGAGGCTGGATACGAGATAGGGAACCTAGACGCGACATTGATACTTCAGAGGCCGAAGCTGAGTCCGCACAAGGAGACAATCCGCTCTAATCTCTCCCACCTTCTTGGAACAGACCCTTCCTTTATCAACTTAAAAGCTAAAACCCATGAAAAAGTCGACAGCCTCGGTGAAAACAGGAGCATTGCTGCTCATACCGTCGTTCTCCTCATGAAGAAGTAAGTCGATTTTTTTAACCCCCTTCGTAAGCAACCTTTTTTTTCAAAATTCTCTCCAGAGGTTTTATAAACAAAAGTCTGATGAACCAAAATAGAGTCTCTTTATGTCAATAAAAGTAGATGTATTGTCAAGAACAGGAGAGAACTTGCTAAAGATTTATGTGCTATTTAATAAATATGTGGCTTCTCTATCGTATACCAAGTAAAAACTTAGTAGGATACCAATAAACTACATGGTTAAGACAGAATGTCGTTCTCACTGCATTATTCCTTCATCCAGGATGATCATTTCAGGTTTTGAACTAATTATATTTGAATTCGATTATTTCGGTTTAAAAAAATTTCAACCATTCGGTTTTTATATCGAGTTTGGTTTGATTCGATTCTATTTTGGTTCGAATTCATTTTTTTTGAGAAAGATATCCATTAAAAATATTTCTTCGTGGTTTTTTTATTCGGTTTAGTTTGATTCTGATTATATTTCGAATTCGATTTTTAACGATAAAAATATTATAACTATACGGGTTTTTTAATGGGTTCGGTTTGGATTCAGCTCTTGAAGAAATTATACGGGTTCCATATGAAATTCGGATCGGTTACAATTACGTGTTACTCGATTAAGATTCGGATATTGACCAAATTGTGGCACGTGTAAACACATCGGCCCATAATGATTGAGAGTTCCAGATTCTGTTTGAACACGGGGGACAGCTCTAGGCAAACAAACTGAATTATGAGTTAAGTTGGGGTCATCCGTGATTCATCTATAAAGAGAGTAGAAAAAAAAAAGAGAAGGGTTGGATATTTTCAATGGCTCGAACTATATGCAAAGAAACTTCTCTGGATTTTAACTATCAATCTCAACCTCTCAGTTTTTAGATTTGATCCTGAGAAGTTAAGCCTAAATCCTTAATTTAGCAAAGGCAATAATAAGTGATTTAATTTGGACGTGGCTTATTCAGGTTTCGGTTCGATTTTTTTAGAAAAAAATTATTATATTTCGGTTTGGGATTTGATTCGATTACGGTTTTCATGGGCAAAGAAAATGCTAATAGCTTTCAAAGCTTCGAAACAAAGCACTACTACAAGACATCCAACCGAACTCAAACAAGTTTCATTTCGTATATTATGTCTAAACAACTACACATATATTTGCTCCTACAGTCACAATAATATATTAAATGCTTTTTATTACATGAACTAACTAGGAACTAAGCTTAATGGCTCAAACAGGTAAGATTGGGTCTCTCATCAGGTTCATTGTCCCAGAAATCCCATTGATCAGAACAATCGAACAAGTAAAACCGAAAGCAAGTTTACCCTCGGATTCAGTCTCTATCGTCGATCAGCCCAACATCACACACGATCCTTAACTACATGTCGTTTTTATCCTCACAAGAGTAAGGATTCAGAACCTAACCGAAAAATTTAGTATCGTTTTAAACTGAACCGTCTAAAAAATTACCAATTTTTAGATAACGGAATATTTTTGAACAAAATAGAAATTGAATCGAACTGAATATAATAACCGATTAGAACATATTTTTCTATAATTGAATAACCCGAATGAATCAAATACTTTACAGAATTTGAACCGAATACCGAAGCATCCATCTCTACTTCTAAGGGTCCACATAACAACTGCGTGTCGTTCATTACTTTAATATCGCATTGTATTTGGAAATACATACCCTTCTCTTGGCGGTTAAATGTGTAGGAATAATATTTTGTTTTTGATGATATGAAAGTTCACCGGATCTTTAATCCAATTATATATACCATTCAAAGTCTCGGAGAAAAAATTGGATAAATCAACGTCTTATGACACCTCTCGTACCTATATCTGGAATCGAATATAGGTATTATCCATCTCAAAATATATTATTATTGTATCACCTTTTATATGTTTGTAACAAGTAAGAATGTTCTTAGCAATTATGGTGATTATTTCCATAAGAGGAAACAATGGTTCTCATGCATACATATAACTTTTTTTTTTTTTTTTTTTTTTTTTATAATTTTTTTTTTTTTTTTTTTTTTTTTTTTTTGATAACCGGGTAATCCTAGGCCCAAAGGGCCCAGACTAATCCCGACCCACACGCAGCATACATATAACTTTGATTATTTGTAAGCATTTTTTTTCTATGATTAAGTCTTAAACAAGAGAACAAAACTATGATTATATCTGATTTAGCGAGGAGTTTAATTATGGCATACATGGTAGAGACATCTCATTCTTTTGATTATTATTAACTCAACCAACTAACCATGCCCTTGGATTGCAAATTCCTATCTTAACAAATGAACATATTAACTTAATTTGCAACACTAATCATGGAAATTATATCAATTCTTTTGACAAAACAGCATCACCTTTGTTTTTCTTTCCCCGTTTTAATTTAAAAATAAATTAAAGTTAAGCTCTTGTGTGGGCCCAAAGGGTCATTCCATTGCTCCTCCTTAAAGCTAAGCACATAATGATTTCAATGATGGAATATCACACACTTAATCGGGGATATTAATGTAAATCATTAATCACAAGAAATAAATTTAAACTGATAATTATTTAATTTGGCCTATATATTTTCAAACATTTATTGTATGATCCAATCACAGTCACCCGTTTATGGTTTTTGTACGTACTTCAAAAATATTGGGTTCGTTTCACTTTATTCCGGAGTTCATTGACATGTGTATATATATATCGAATATAATTAATATTAAATTGGATATCGAATTTTAGATTTTGTGTTTTTTTTGGGAGTTTTAGTTATTTGTAAGAAGGAGAAAAGAGGCAAGAATAAGAAAAGGCTTGCGATACATAGAAGCAAAAGTCACCTTTATAAGCGAGATTACATTTACATCAATCTTTGGTAGTTGATTTGCGCCAATCCAACGGCCCCACTCCCCCCTCCTCACGTTCACGTACGTACGTTACATTTTCCCAATAACACACATATATATACATATGTGTATATGTGTATGCATAGACAATATATCAAAAATATGTTTACTTTGCTATTTTGACTTCAAGGTATACCTTTCTCCACCTGTGATCCTGTGACCAAAAATTTATTGAACTTATAAATTTTTTATCAAATGATCAGTGAGTATATAAGGTATGAACATGATGAATGAGTGTGATCATCGTAAATTTAACATTATGGTCAATATGACCAAGTTTAAATTTTTGGTCACATGGATTATATGGTCACAGTTGGAGAAATATATACGGTTAAAATAGCAAAATAATGATATTTTTTATAACGCACCATATAGATGTGTGTGTACAAGAGAACAATACTTCATAAGTATTAGTATCGATTACAACCCACTAAAAACAAATTCACTCATATATATATATATATTTTCCTTTTCTTCAAAGTTGGGATTTAAATGATACATGAATTTGTGTTTTTTTTCTTTTACATTTTAGATCTTCTCTTATTTCATCTTCTTGGAATAATCGTTTCAAGATCTAATTAATCAACAATGGAGATTGATGATATGAAAATCAAAAAGATAAAATTATATAACAGTGTGATGCATTGGTTTTCTTTTTTGACGATTTTAGCGTTCATATCCAAATTGCTTTTGTGATAAGCTTTCGAACATATGCGTAGTTTTAATATAAGAAGTGACGACATCTCAATTTTTGAGATTGATATATGTATCTTCAATATTATATATATATACACCCCTACTCAGTATATATATATATATATGTATGTGCGTTAGAGTGTATGCATATATGTACCGCATGCCGACAAACATGCATATGTACCTTGAGAGACACTTCTCCGGTTAGTTGTATTATTATAGACCATTAAAAGAATGTCTAGATGATGACGCACATATCTTAAAACAACGGGCTATTTAGCATTTTTTTATATCACAAATAAGAAATCAAATATCTCATGTACGTTGGTACTTGACACATATTTCATACAAAGCCTTAAGTAACCAATATATAACCCGATATGATTGCAGGTTATATAACACACATAAAACTTGATATATAGCACATCTTATATATTATCCAATCTCAAAATCGATTCGAAATCCGCAGAGTAATTAGCCTATCATATTCCAAGGTTTGGTATAGGAGAGTAGCTTTTTCGTGTGTGCATATATATATATATCGACTGGCATGCATAGATTGTTACGTAATGTATACTATGTATATAATTCAGTCCACCAAATGGTTGCAGCCAATGTAAACGAGGGTAGAATTGTCATGGTAAAGAAGATACTCTGATGTGACAGTATTATTATATATTGCATGTCTATATCTTTACGAGTAAAACCCAAATTGAAAAATGAAGCGAGAATTATAAACCAAGCGATTTCATTTTCGACGGGTCTCAATATGTCTCCTAACTAAACGGGAGCCTTGTAGTTGTACACTTGTAATGATTATTGTTACATCTCCTTGAAAAGTTTAGCCATTGGACGTACATTAACTATATATATCTACTATATATTTTTTTTCCGGTTTAGATTTAAATGTGAAAAGGATTATTACAATTTCGGCTAGAAAGAAAATGTCATATTCTTCCTCTAATAATAATAATATCACACATTGAAAACTTTATATAAATATATTCCTTTCAAAACATACCTCACATAGAAAACGTGTATTATAGGTTTAATGGTCATATTCAAATCTTTGCCGATCTTGTATAATAATTCTCCAATGAAAACAAATAAAGATTTTTTTATTTGGAACTTTTGTTTATACAAAACCTTAAACGTTTTTTTATAACCGACTATCTTGGACCGTTGGTCATACTAATCTGGGGATCAAAGGTCAACCGTATGATTTAGAAATTGGAATATACACCATCTTTTCAAATTTGAGATTCGAACTCGGACGGAATATACACTTTGCTTCCCCTTTCACCAATTGATAACTACCAAACTTTGGATCAAAACTTCAAATGTTAGACCTTTTGTTTTGTTTTTTGTTTTGGAAGAAGAACTTTAGCAGTAACACGTGTGTTATATGTGTTTTGTATATGTCATGAACAATCTTCGATACTTTTAGAGGAAAAGAAATGTTTCTAAGCAAACCCATTAGGCGTAGCTTCAAGCAAAATATTCTGAAAAGTAATTAAGAAGAAAATATGGGTTTGAATTCGTGTTCCATAACTGTATAAGATTATGTGATTTATATATATATATATATATATATATATATCATTTTCTAAAATCATATACATGCACCCCACTTTTGTAGAGAGAGAGGGGGGTATGAGGAACAACCGGCAAAGCTTCTGTAGGAGAAAGAAGGGTACGTAAAGAACATTTTGGCAGAATGCTAACGTAATAATACTACCGGAAAGTTCTTTAAAATATTCTCTCTACGTAGATTATAATAATAACACACATGACATGAAAAGAAAACCGATGAGATGTCGTTTTAGGGTTAGATCAACGAAGAAATATCTCGGGCCCCACCCGTGGACCCGACCCGGGTTGTCGGCCCCTTTTATCCCCTTTTATATATGCTCTTAGTGTACAAACCCACTACCCAAAACCCACAAACAACACACACGAAAGACTTTAAGAGAGAGAGTGGAGAACCCTAATTAGGAGGGATTCTCATCAAATAATATATTAATTATTGTGGATAAATAAGTTAATTAACTGATAAATGGGTCATCACTCATGCTGCAACCAGCAGAAGGTGAAGAGAGGGCTTTGGTCGCCGGAGGAAGATGAGAAGCTCATTAGGTATATCACTACTCATGGCTATGGTTGCTGGAGTGAAGTCCCTGAGAAAGCAGGTTCTTTGAATCTTTCATTCTTTCATTTGAACTGATGTATGCATACACACATACAATCGCATTCATGTGTATATATGTATATATATATATGTATATGTATGTGTATGTGTTGCAATTGTTGGTTTGATTTTTTTTATTTTTTGTTTTTGAAAAAACGAATGTAAAGGGCTTCAAAGATGTGGGAAGAGTTGCCGGTTGAGATGGATTAATTATCTGCGACCTGACATAAGAAGAGGAAGATTCACTCCCGAGGAAGAGAAGTTGATCATTAGCCTTCATGGAGTTGTCGGAAACAGGTTCTTTTTCTTTAACCCTAATTCATGATCCAATATTATACATTAATTTGTCCATCACATGTTTATTTTCTTGCAGTCTTACCGTGTTATACATTTATATACAATCGCACATATGTTTTAAAGTTACGATCCAATTCACTTCTTGACCATACATGCATATATATCATGCCAAAATATAACATCTAAATTACATTTATGGTTTTTCATGGATTAGCAAGTGCTAATACACGGTTCTGAAAATAGAATATGCTTGAAAAGGTTACATCAATGGTAAATCATTGGGTTCTGAGATTATTAATTAACTGATAAAAGCTTTTGGTTGAAGAGTAGGCACGTGCCTATAAACATAATTTTATTTTACAGATCGATGTAATGTATTGTCTTTATATGTTTGAATAACACACACCCAACGTTATTAAGCTATTATATATGTTAGTTTCTCCTCATTTATAAGCAACAACCTTTTATATATATATATATATATATATATATATACACACACATATATATATATACATATATATGTATAAACTGATATAGTCTTGACGTGTATTTTCATTCATCCCCGGTCTATATTTATATATCTACCATCTCCCCTACTAAGTAGTGCACTTCAAGATACTTTTTCTTTGACAGTTTTAAAATGTGACATGCATAATACATAATATATGCATATACGTTTTTGTGCCTGCGTGTATCTATATTATATATATATATATATATAAGAACGTGTTCTTCCTGTTTTAATTTGATATATGTTAAATAGTTTATTCAAACTCTAATACATACAATACAATTTGTTATTTACCATTAACAAAAAAAAAATACAATTTCAGGTGGGCTCATATCGCAAGTCATTTACCTGGAAGAACTGACAACGAGATTAAAAACTATTGGAATTCATGGATCAAGAAAAAGATACGAAAGCCTCATCATCATCATCATAATGCTCCTCGGTCATCAATAACCACCGCGACCACGGACGCAAGGGCAACTACTTCCGCTTCCCCTTCTTCTCCTATCACCACGATGACATCAAGTGTGGATTATCCACATTTCGATAATTTCACGAGTCATCGTAACCCATTAAACTTTGCGAAAAATCAAGAAGTTATGACCACGAAAACGTCACATATCCAAGAAACCCTTTTCTCTCCTCAGCCCCCTCTCTTCATGGTGGACACAACAACGCTGCCGATCCTCGAAGGTATGTTCCTCTCTGAAAACATCATCACAAACGGCGACAAGAACATTAATGATCATGAAACACACGGAGGAACCGACCATCAAATTGCATCGGCATCCAATATTGACTCCTTCATATGGAGTCTTAATCAAACTCAGCCCATAATATTCAATGATTCAAGTCTCAATACTTTACCGCCATTGGTAGAGGAGAATATTGTTGATAATAGCAAAAACGTCGTTCAAGATGGAGATTTGGAGGTTTTCGAATGCTTGAAAAGGCAAGAATTGAGCTATGTCGATGATCAATGGATTTGTTCATCACAGCCATGCTCGAATTTTATCTTTTGGGACAACCTTAACAACATCAATGTGGAAGGATCTTCTCTTGTTGGAGAGGCCGAGCCCTCGATCACTTTGGCATCCTCCGCCTTTTCTTCTTCATTTCCTTCTTCTTTTTTAAGTTAATTAATGGTTATCTATTCCACAGTAGAGAAAATAGGTAACATTGATATTTCTTAATGTTCTTCACACATCAAAGGGTTTGTTTTTTTTTTCTTTTTTTTGGTATTTGGGAGTTTGATTTCGGATTTTTTTTTCTATCTAACCTTTTTTCGTTTTGGTGATGAGAGTTTTCAGGATGAAATGTTGTGGTCGTGGATATGCACTTATTGTTGATTTTATTTTATTTTTTATTTATTTTTGGGTTTGTGCGGATTTGAGGTTGTAATAAAAGGAAAAATTAAAGAGGAACCACGCATATTTACGTTGATGCTGATTTTAATACGGTGTCGTATTCCTTGCATTTTGTTAAGAACATTAGTAATAATACGTATGAAGTTTGGTTACTCATAAAATGTTAAATGGTTTATCGTAATTTTGTTAAGAAGGAATAAAATACCTTTAATGATTAAATTTCGAATAATACGAAGAGAAAAATGTATGGGCCCAAATAAAAAAGCCCACTAAAGAAATAAAAAACCTGTGAAAAAAAAAAGCAAAAAACCCCGTTTAACCCTAAAAATATTTTTTTTTTGGTATAAAACCCTAAAAATATTTGCAGTCTTCTCTCGCTATTACAACCAGGAGTGGGAGTTTTGGTTTGGTTTTTTAGAATTTAACCTCATGGAATCCAAAAATTTCGGTATTTTTTTATGAAGTGTATTGTTTAGAATTTTCAAACAGTATATTTTTTATAGAATCGAATTTCTCAAAATCGAACCGAAATAAACTTTATAAAATTTCTGAAAAATTGATTTTTTTTTTAAAAAAAATCTAATTTTTTTTAATAAAAATAAAAATTTTGGACAATTTTTAACACATTTTATTGAACTGTTAGTAATTCAGTAGTTACACTGGAAAAAAAAAAAGAATACAGTAAATATACTTGGGGTTATACTAAAGGAGAATTCCAGAAACTTGCACAGTTCCCCACTCTTTAAGGGTTCAGTCCTGTCTAGCTTATTGATTTAACATATGCTATATATATATAATTCGTATTTATATTTTATCCATACATTTACATTTCTTTCGATAATAAGATTAAGCATATGCTTGATCCCAACCCAAAATTAGTCTAGACGTCTGCTCTCAGCATATCCGGTTATCCTTAAAAAAAAAAAATAAGTAGATGCATTATGTTCTAAATATTTTTACGGAAAAACACAGTGAAAAATCATATCTTCTTTCTGTTTGGATGGACGGTCCAGAAAGCGAGTTAAATTTGTGGGCCCAAAGCCCAGATGCATTCTGCTATTCCACGTGTCCTTGTCGGAAAAATCTCACCTCTCCATCTACCGTAATCCATAACTCATGGAACCATAGATTTTTCCACGATTCGTGTAAATAAATTAAACCTTCAATTTTTTTTTTCATGTTCCATTATAGTTTTCAGAAATTATTTTTAAGTTTTACCATATTGAAACGAATATGACATAGTTCATCCAAAAATGGCGTGTTTGACCATAAATCGAATTTATAAATTGTAAATGTTTTTCCCCCACGCCCCAAAATGATCACCTACAAATCGGTCACAAATGCTTTGGGTGAATCGTAATTTACAAAGAAAAAATAAACAAAAATGAATAATAGAATGACCACCCCTTAATCCTATCTGCTTGCTCATGTCTCTTATTGAAGTTTTTAAAAACACCTCGAGATTTTCATTTTTCTAAAATTCTCCGCAAAAAAAAAATGAATAATAATATATTGGCCCCACTAAGCACTGTTACTACCGACAAAGAACTTCCATATAAATTCGTCCACGTGTCCATGGTCATGGCAGCAGTCATTATCACAATCTCACCAGGAAAATATGAAATCCAATCTGTAACCCTGAGCATGATTAATTTTTAATTAATCTCCTTAATGCTGCTTAGGCAAATGATGAAGCGACATAGTCTCCCCCTTTTTCACTGCAGCCTTTCACCTTTTTAACCATTTGTTAAAAAAAAAACTTTGCATTCAATTATCTCTGCCAATTAATTTGGCTGGTTAGACAAAACATTTACTTCTCCCTCCCCATTACCAATTGTATCATCTAAGCCTCACCAGCATATCCACAAAATATCATATGAGTATTATTGGGAATCCCTAAAATGTAAGAAGATTAATAAAAAAAGACGTAATAAACAAAATTTTCGTAAATATAATACATAAAAATGGACATGGGGGGGTTACTATGGTTTTAGATTTTTATCATTTCAATTATATAAAAGAAAAATGATCGAATGTGGATTTGTCTCTTCGAGAAGAACAGCTTACAGGAACAGGAGGAGCCAATGCATGTTCTTCCCGTCAATCTCACTTTCTCTCCCGACCCAGAAAATTTTCCCTCATTTTCTCTCTAGCCAATCAACTCCACCACCTCAAAAAACACCCACCAAAAACCAATCATAAAGAATCGATTTTGACCGAGGAAGCAACAATCTTTCTCATCGTTGTTCCGATTGCTCTTTCTATCTGAAAGATGAAGACGAGCGCGAAGGACTCGTCGGAGAAGCTAATCTGGGACCGGACATTATCCGGTTCCGGGTCACCGACCCGACCCGTATCCAAGCTCATGGTCTTCCTCCTCCTCTTCGTCTCCGCCACTTACGTCGTCTACACCATCAAGCTCATCTCCTCCTCACGTGTCTGCCACGTGGAGCCCTTCTCCGCCGTCGCCTCCACGCGCCGCCGCACCTCCAACTCATCCCCCCCCCGCCGCACCAACGAAACCGCCGCGGTGGTGGCGGATCCATTCTCGTCCCCTCCGGCGACGGAGCTCCGGCACGTGGTGTTTGGTATCGCGGCGTCGGCGAGGCTGTGGAAACAGAGGAAGGAGTACATAAAGATCTGGTACAAGCCCGAGCGAAATTGTTGCAGGGTGAAATCGAAGAAGAACAACACTTTGCTGATTAATGTTGGGGTTTGTAAAGATGGTGAAATCGTTGAAGTTAAATAAGACTACATGAGGAGGCGGTGGAGGTGGCCGGAGATGACGAATCAACCCTCCCGCCGGTGAGAATCTCCGGCAACACCTCCGATTTCCCGTACAAGAACAAACAGGGGCACCGATCAGCGATTCGAATCTCCCGAATCATAACAGAGACCCTCCGTCTAGGCCTGAAAAACGTGAGGTGGTTCGTGATGGGAGACGACGACACGGTCTTCGTCACCGACAATCTGCTAAGGGTTCTTCGGAAATACGACCACGAACAGATGTACTACATCGGGAGCTTGTCGGAATCTCATCTGCAGAACATATACTTCTCGTACGGAATGGCGTACGGAGGCGGAGGCTTCGCCGTGAGTTACCCATTGGCGGTGGCGCTGAGTCAGATGCAGGACCGTTGTATTCGGAGATACCCGGCGTTGTACGGATCAGATGACCGGATGCAAGCTTGCATGGCCGAACTCGGTGTTCCACTCACCAAGGAACTCGGTTTTCACCAGGTCAGTTTATCTCCCTCGGTGACGAAACGAGTCACTGAGTCACTCACTCACTCGCTTTGTTTTCAGGTGTAAAGGGGAAATATTTGATTTGTCTATGGTTTCTATTATTCAAAATCTGATTCCAAAAATGGTAAATCTAGTGTGCTTTGGTCATATGTTGATGTGATCTAGCGATATGGACCTGCTTTAGAAGCAACAATTGAATTTAGAGAGGAAAATAACAATCTATTTGTTTAACGGGAAAAATTACTGATCCGTTTTACTATTACTATTATTTTATCTGGCTATCAATTTCGGTTGGTGAATTAGCAGGTGGGTCGAGCGTAGAAATCATACTAATTAAGGTCAAAATCCATATAATTTTGACATAAATGACCGGTGCCTTTAGTGACCATAATAGCTATATTGTCTTGAAGTTCAGATTTAGTAAAATTTGCCTAAAAGCAAAATATATAATCATTTCGGTATAAAGGTTTTCATGGGTTTTTTTTTTAAATCATGATTTTATTGCAATAATTTAACTTTTTCTTGCAACTCGAGAGGCCACGTAGATTTTACAAACTTGTCCCTTCGTAAAGATTTTACTGGTGTGAACGGGGTCCACGTGTTCAAAATTTCAGACCGTTTCGTTAACAGTGTCTTCCAAACAATCACGCGCATCTGCCGCCGCGTGCGCGTCACGCGTTTTTCACTCTTGTAGTTTTTTGAAAAAACTACCGGACGTTTATGTTTTTTTTGTTCACTTCCATTTCATGTTCTTTTGGGTACCCATTGATTGAACCGACATACATTTGATATTATTAATGGTTCGATTTGGCTTAAACCGGTGGTTAATATTGGTTAATCGAATTGGATTCAATCTGATTCAATGATTCATTCTGAATCCGGTTTGGCTTTCTGAATTTGGTGTTCTGTTTCGATAATATTTTCAATTTCTTTTTTACGTTATGTTATAATAATTCGATCCGTGGCACTTACTCTGTTAACCGTTCTTGTGCACCGGTTTAACTTAACCGGCGGTTTACTAATCAGTGAAAAACCCGTTTGAACCTTGGGTTTCAGTACGACGTTTACGGGAACCTCTTCGGACTGTTAGCGGCGCATCCGGTGGCACCGTTGGTGACATTGCACCACCTGGACGTGGTCGAGCCGATATTTCCGAACATGACACGTGTCAATGCCCTGAAACGGCTTCGGACACCGATGAGACTCGACTCGGCCGGACTCATGCAACAGTCCATTTGCTACGACAGACGCCGGAAATGGACCGTCTCTGTCTCTTGGGGCTTCGCCGTTCAGATTTTCCGGGGAATATTCTCCCCCAGAGAGATGGAGATGCCTTCTAGAACCTTCCTAAACTGGTAAGTGCATCAAGAACGCATCGTTCATTCTTAGCATAAATGCGTCCACAAAAAATGGTCTATCAAATATAAGAATTTTAAATTTCTAAAAAAATATACACAATTTTGTTGCCTTTTCCCTCATTTTTTAATTTGGTTTGGTTTGATTTCGGTTTAAAAAAGCTTTTATATCAAATTCAATTCGATTACAATTATATATTATCATATTCGCTTCGGTTCAATTATCCGGTTATTAACCAAGTTGGTCATCGCTAGTAACCGTTCGGGTTTTCATAATTCCGCAGGTATAGGCGGGCGGATTACACGGCATACGCCTTCAACACGAGGCCAGTGAGCCGAAACCCGTGCCAGAAGCCGTTTGTGTTCTACATGACGGATGCGAGGTTTCATCGGACGGGTAACACGACGGTGAGCGAGTACGGACGTCACGTTGCGCCTCACCCCGACTGCCCGTGGAAGATGGAGAATCCCGGCCGCCTCACCTCCGTCCTCGTCTACAAGAAACCTGACCCTCTTCTTTGGAACAGGGTAAGTCCCCTATTTCACTACTACTCATCATCCCTAATCGTTACATAATAAAAATATTATATTCAGTTATTGGAATTCCGTTATATACTCTAGAGTTTGGACCGGCATTATATGACTATATACTTAATTATTATTCGATGCTTCTTACATTTCTAATTGTGTTTTTTTTTTTGTTTGGCTTGGTGGGAAGTCTCCGAGAAGAAATTGTTGCAGGGTGAAATCGAAGAAGAACAACACTTTGCTGATTAATGTTGGGGTTTGTAAAGATGGTGAAATCGTTGAAGTTAAATAAGACTACATATAATTTATTTGACAATATATTTTTTATTAGCATTTTTTTTTATTTTTTTGCTTAGATTTGATTGTTTAGATCAAATTAGTTACCGAATCCCGAAAATTGAAAATGTGCAACTTCTTTTTAATTGTTCTTAGCATTTAATTTGACGTAATTGTTTGAGGAATAATCAGTAATAATAAAATGTAATTATTATATATGGTGTGTTTTCCACGCGTCGTATTAATCCGAAAATTATTTAAAAATTTATAGATCCGTCGGTGCCATAGAACTTCGTGAAAATTAAAATTGCATTAAAAACGCGCTCCCCCGATCACGTGACATTGAAATAAAAGTTTCGTCCAAGTAAATAGGGTTTTATTTTTATTTTTTTAAATAGGGTTTTATTTTTAGCGGTTGCGTTTTTTTATTAACTCGTTTGTTACATGTCTAGACGAAAGTATTTATCGCGTTTTTTATGTAATAATATATAGTTACATTTATTTATATTTTATCCCCTCCCAATGTGAATACAAATATATTTTACAGAGGACACTGTAGAATGGTTTGCTTTATCTGGAGATTGTCATGAGGATTAAGAAAAATATTTTTATTGAAACATTAATAATTAAAATATAAAATATAAAAGATTAAAGAAAAAATTAAAAAATATATAACATTTTCATATATAATATTTTACAAGTGAATCATGCCGTTATTTAAGTTTTAAAATTTATTTATAATAACGTTATTTTTTTCATAAATTTATATCGCCGTTGAATTAGGCATATGATTTCACGTGTAATTTGTATCAGAAAGAAAAAAGGGTAAAACAAATTATAGATTTTCTTTTCTATCTTAACCTCTCAAAATTTTCTTCTAAATGTATCAACAAACTAGAAAATAAGAAAAGTTTATATTTATTTAGATTTTATATAGTATCATTATATTCATATACAAAATTGTTTAAATTTAACTATATTTTATATCGAAATTCGTGTGGGCTTAAGCCCATGTCTATGGTAAGGATGATAATAATTTCTAAGCAAATCTAATTATGATCTTTATTATTACCTCAGGGAAGTGTAATTAAATATTGCATGAAAGGTGAGACCACATATAAAAATCTTGAAGTTCAAAAATGTTCATCTTGGAGAGACGTTAATGAAATGTGTGTTCGCTTTTGATAAATATATTCCCAGCTTATTACGCGTCCTAAACGCGAAAACGTAACTCATCTTATGTGAAATATATATTAAAAAATATGCATAATATATTCTGATAACATTAGAGATATTTGTATATATCTCTAATATAAAGTGATATATTTCTGTGTAATTGGGTATTCGAGACTCAAATTAATTTTAAACAAATCAAGTGATTGAAATTACGTTTCCATCCCTAATTTAAAATTCGAACGTGGATCTTTATTTTATCGGTTGAATTATCCAAGTTGGATTACTGATAAATATTATATATAGAAGAAAAAAGTTTTTTTAATATATCACAATATATAACTACAATTATAGATCAAAACTTATTTAACAATAATAATAATAATAATAACAATAGTTTTTTTTTTGAAGAGTTTAATTTGAAATTTAGCTCGGTAATAATAAAAATTTCCCTTACTGCGATAGCTCGGAGAAATTTCTCCACGCGCCCTAATATGTCAGTGTACGATTTCAGCTGGTCGTCCCGTCCCCAGGGAAAACTGGGCGGTGTCTTCCACGCGCTACTTTTACGCGTGGTGAATCATCGGATGGGTTATAGAGATATATATATATATATATCCGTGAATATGAGCCCATTTCCGCAGATAAATGGGCTAAAATTTCTAGGCCCACGTATACAATGTAAGGACAAGATATAGGCGGGCACAGGCCCATATAATTGTAAGGGGCCCAGTTTGTTTATAGATGATCATTTATTTCTTCTTAATTTCATGATAATATTGTTGACAAATATAGTTACGGTCTTTACATTGAGAAGTTACATTAATTCATCGCCTCGATTTCTTTTTTATAAATTAATTTTCTTGAAATGAAAAGTTTTTATTCTGCTTTTGTGCTGTTTTAGTCGTAAGAAATAAAAAAGAATCTATGTACAACTGAATATTCCATATAGACAAAACTGAAATGTATAACTCGATATTTTCGTGCGTAACTCGTAAATTAAATTAACCTATATTTTTAATTAGTGACGTAATATTTTCAAAATAAAAGGCTAAATAACGTAATAATTAGGGAAAACATAACGGCCAACTAGTTGGGCTATCTCATATTTGTATATTCGGCCCATATTTTAGATTCATGTTCATATTATCAACCTAATTCTTTTTTTTTTGGGCAAATTATTTGTAATTGTCTTTTTTTTAATAATCCAAAAATTCACCGTATTTTTAGTCTAACTATATCTCAAATGAAGAAAAGTCCGGATAGATTTTCTATATTTAAATTTGAATATGGGATCATATTTTCTTACTAGGTCAATATTAGCTATAAATATATTTTCCATTGTGTTTTTTTTCCATATATATATACACACATTTAAAAAACGTATCTATTTTTTTTTATAATATTTAATTCATGTTTTTTAAACTGTCGGCATAAAAATTCGTACAGCAGCATAAAATAGCAAAAAAAAAATCCATATGGGTAAATTAAAACAAGACCATACAAAAGGTTTTGTTCGGGAGCACACAGAGAGGAAAGCAATAAAGGTGGCTTTTGGTATAAAGGGAATAAAGAGCATAAAGTATGCCAAATGTTAGATAAATCATATACTAATTTTTTATTTCACTCATTGAAAACATATACACCATATATATATATGTGCGTGTACGCTCACGTGACGATATTGGACCACGTGAATGATATTGGTCCAGTGACTATCCCATCTATTAGGTTTCGTCATTAATCACCAAAGTAGTGGACCATATACTTTGGTCGTTTAATTAATTTGTCCTCGTAAGTCTGCGCGTGCTTGTGTGTATATATATACGCGTATATATATGTTTATATTCATGTCTTTAAATATAAATAAACACCCACATGCATATGTGAGTACGCGCACACGCCCGTGTGTGAATATGTATTTTTAATTGTATCATAATTTATTTAATATATTTCAAAAAAACAAATGTATACCCAGATGTAAAATGTAAGTCCGTGGTCCTAAGATTTTGGATTGAGTTCCTTAATTTTTTACATAAATTCGGTGTGGACCTACACCTACCTACGTATCAATTTTTTTTAATCTTAAAGTTTCCATAATCAACATTAAAAAAATTCAATCAAACTCCATAATTTTCTACAATTTGGCACAGCGAATATAGTTGATAATAGCTACAGTAATATATTATATTTTCCTGCTG